CTAATGCATGAAAATCCTAACCTCAAAAAAATCACCCGTTATTATGTATTTTTTTTTTTGTAATTTTTATGCATCTTTGCAAAACTTAGCAATGCAAGCAAAAAGCTCTAAAAGCCACGTAACCGAAAATATAATTAAATAGATTAGAAAACTCAACTATAGCCATTGGTTTCAAAAGTTGTTTCATGATTTTATATGGCGATCCCAAGCTGTTCTAAGATTTTCTGTGTTAATCAACAATTTTATAAAAAAATTTCACATTTTAGAATTTACTTAATTCATTTTTTTATATAAAATGGGAAGTTACTTAAAAACGAAATTTATATCACCTGGTTATGTGGTAATATTTTTAACAGATTTTAAGAAGATATCCTTATAACCGGACAGGTGTGAATACTTCAATTATGTGCACAAAAAATTGCATCAACATCATTAGAGCTGTTTCCCAGAAACCTTATTCATAATTCATATACAAGAATTGCTCGTTTAAAGTAATAAGCAGGGAACGGATTTTTATATATATTATATGAAAAATTTGTACTTTGAATCTTTGACTATTTTATCCTTTCGAGTTTCTAACTCATAAAACTTTAATCTGTATAGTTGTAGTAACATTGAACCACAAGATGCATTTTGAAGTAAGTAAGTTGATACAAGTGGAGCCCAATTTAAATATGGAACGTTTGAAACGTTCATATTATCCGGAATAAGGGCGTTTTCCTCGCCCCTTACAATTTTATCCACTTCCCCTTATTGTCTCCAAGCCTACGTAAGCTGAGAAAACGGCTTTGAATTTTTTCAACACCAATTTGGCTAGAGGTCCCTGCGCTTCTATAAGCCGCATGGGCATGTGTATATTTTTGAATTAAAAAAAAAAAAATTGTAAATGCTATAATCACTTTTTTAAAGTTAGAAAAGGCAAAAATAGGCAAATATCTTAAAAAAGGCAAAAAAGGCAACATCAAATGTGTATATATGGAATCAGGGAAAGCTAAATCGTGGACATTCTTAATCGAATATACTCTATCTCTTTAGCAGAAAAAAAAGGCAATTTCCATAAAATCCGTTCCCTGGTAATAAGATATTAGCGAATTATAAAAGATATTAGATGAGAGAATGTTACATTTTTCCACAGTAACATTGCCTCTCATATCATAAGATAACTAAACCAGGACGATATTTTGGAATTTTACCGGTGAATGGGTTTTACCGACTTTACCTCTATCCCGATAAGTGTTTGAACCCGCAAAAATGTTACGCTCCTACGTGCGAAGATTTCGTCTAATCTTATGCTGTACTGCTGTATACCTAGCCTAGGTTACCATCATCGCAATGGTTACCTTTGTTTCAGATTGGCTGTGCTTAACCAGCCGCTGTTTTCGCTGCTTTTTCTTAGGCAAATAACTTAACTTGGAATACTCTGCAATGATCTGAAAGACTGTAAAATTCTTTTTCCAGTTTTTGATATTGTTAAATGGCCGCTATGCTATACTTGTCTTACCGACTATGCAATATTTGTCTTTTAACCGACGATTATTTTCTTTGATTTCTCATTTCATTCTCGACAAGTATGTGCAGCGATTTCTCTGTGGAAGAAATGTTGAATACTCATTTTATGTGTGTATATCTAGAAAAACTGCTAAGGATTGAATTTTTAATCTCAAGCTGCTTCCTCCTAGTCTTTGAGTCTTTCAAAATTTTGGGTGGTGAATTAAGTAATGTGGTTCTTAGTTGGAGAGTCAGTTGCGGTTGTGAAGGTGGATAACAATAAGAGCTGCAAAAAAATTACTTTAAGTAAAGATAAAATCACATTCCAAATTTCTTCCTACTAGAATAATCTGTTGCAAAAAAATCTTCGTTAATTCCAGGGAGTTCCGACCGCGAACTCTAGTTCCACCGCACACTCTGTATAAGTGCTTTCTTTTTCTAATATTTTTCAAGCATCACAATCCAGTAGACTTGGTGGCATTTAGTATTGTCTGAATTTTTGCTGACTTTGAACCTTTATTTCTGAAAATATGCAATATACAAATACATAGGTGCACACATATACACACATATGTAAATACTTTTATTTTTACCCTTATTCCCCCAGTTACTCGCAATAAGTATATCAATTAATCTCCATTTCGATATTTTCTTTTCTATTACAGGCTGTACATTTAAGGAAACACTTTCCGTCCAGCGAACCAACAGCTATTGAATCAGGCGCACCAGCAACAACAACCGAAATAAATGATACTGTTGATACCGTTCATGCGCCTTCTACTATAGCTGCCGCATATTTTTGATCAACAACAACACAACAGAAATTATTAACGCTAAGCAGCGCCGAAACACTGCAATTTAAGCGCTTTGAGCGGCTTAGCACGCGAGAGTTGGGTACTTCGTTCATTTGAGTCGGCACGCGAATTACCAGTTTGACGGCTTTACTTGTTGCCTTTGTTGCTTTTATTTGGATATCGGAAAACCCCTGCAACATGGGCACCAATTAACTGCAGCAACAACAAACGCCCACCAAAAATAAAAGGAAAAAAAGCAAATTGAACGAAATCTGTGCGCCTACACAGGCACCACGCCAACTGCCACATATGCAACAGATAATTTGAGCATTTATCGGCATCCGCTCACGCTCGCGCTAGCCTTAGTTGCAGCGACCATGTGCATGCGCTGAATTAAAGCAGCGAAGTAAATATAAAACTAAATATACATAAATATAAAAATAAGATATAGAAATTAAATGAAACAGCGTGCGCGCATTGACCAGTAGTCAAAGCGAACGTGCGGCATAGACCAATAACCGCATTGTGGTTGTAAAACAGATAAAGCAGTAGCAGCAATTGCAACAAATTCAAAACTAGCTGCCGCGATATGAGCGCTTGTTTATGTTTTCCTTAAATTGCTGCATTTAGCGGCTGCAACAACAACGTGCAGCAGAAACCAGTCGCGCGCGATATCCGCAACAGGTACACAGCAACAACAACAACAATAAAACCGCGTAGCAATTCCGAAACGAATTAGTTCAAGCGTGTGCGCACATGTAGCGTACAAATAATATTTCCAGCAATAATCGCGAACTGCCTGCTGTGGAGTGCAACGACCGCACCACAACCGCCACCACCACCACCACCACAACTACCACCAACTCCAGCGCCACACAACCATCGCGCGTGCCGCAACAACCTTGGCCACTACATTTGGACTGCTGACGCTTATTTCTAGTTCGCGTTTTGTTGCACATACGCGTGGTTTGGGGCGGCACGATTTTGGTGTTTGCAAGTTCAAGCGCAAGCGGTAAGTTCCGTTCAATTAGCGAAGCGCAGCCAAAGAAAAGGCGACGGCCGCACCACGGCACGTCACGCCAAAAAGCGTTTGAGTGGCACGCAAACAGGAAGTTGCGGCAGGAACCAAAGCGAGTGGTTAAAACGTGAGGAGTTTTATTGCAACTTGATTGCGCTCCGCTTTTGCCGAAACGAAACGATTTGCAGGTTGTCAACCTTCGCTTTATGGTGCGCGCGCGTAACCCCTCTCTCAGCCGCCTATTCGCTAGCGTCCCGACCAATCACCGAGGAATGCAAGACTCATTTGTTGGCGCAGCAGTGACAACAGGAGTAGTGGCCAACAAAATAGCAGAAATAATCAATTTTTGTGGAACCGTAAGCGTGGCGGACACACCGAAATTACCAGCTACGAGCATTTTTCGCCGACCATAGTGTTCCGCGCACTGCGACACAAAAACTGTTTAAATCCGCTAAACCCACCCATTTAACAGCCGCTACCAGCTTTGCATCTAAAACCAGCGCGCACCTTCACCAAATTCAGTACCTGCCCCTTGGCTTCCCTACAAGCCACGCCCTAAACGTGCCGTGCTCAATGTAAGATGTTAGCAAACGTCAAATGGAGCCTCTTAGCCACAGCTGTTGTCAGTTTGCTGCTATGCACCGCAGAAGCCATTGAACGCGCGCCAGCGCTTGCGAACACGTCGGCGCATGCGCCAGCAACACCAGCGCGTCAGCTACAAACACAGCAACCAGCATTGCAGTCAAGTGCGCGACAAGCACGCGCTACCACAGCGTACTCAACTGCGCATGGTCAGTACGCGTCTTTACCTATTACCCCGGAGCCCATCGCGCCCTCTGTAGATAATCGGCGTACCGCGCGAAACCTCTACGCGCCTTTCAACACCTTCAGCAAGGTGGATGAGGCGCCGTACACAGATTGGCGTCGCCGCAGCGATGGCACCGTAGTACAAACATTTGGTGCATACCGTAGTGGACGCGCACTTTCAACGACCGCGCAACAACCACAAATTCTACCACATTTCCAACAAAGTCAGCCAGTGCAGCAGTCACATCCGGCAGCACAACGCCGCTCGGATGTCATAACGACTGTCGAAGTGATACCAGCGCCAGGAATCGAACTATCGAGCAGCACCAGTAATGGCGCCATCTCCGGTTCTTTACCCATAACAATACCCAAGCAAGTGGTGCCCGACGCAAATGCCGCCGCATCTATCGCTGCCGCGACGACCGCCATAGCGAATGCGACGCGCAGCTCACGTCAACGCAACTATGTATATATACCATTGCAACAGCAAACCAGTGGCGCAACACAGCTGCCAAAGCGCAACAACAGCTCATTCGGTTACCTGGGTCCACCTACACACGCCGTGGCTGCGGTAGCACAAGAATTCGGCGACGAGTTGATACACGCGCAAACAGATCGCATTGATGTGGCCACAGCGCCAGTGGCAGATGCCGCCATCACTTCAACGGATAAAGTAGATTATGAGGATGAAAATGCAGCACGTCGCAATGGTTTCAAATTCCCCAGCTACAGTTTGAAACCAGCGAGCCCTTTTTACCCGCAAGGCTATCGGGAAGACAATCCCATCTTCACTGAAACATCTGGGTTTGAGTCGCCCTATAGCGAGGAGGTGCTGCCCACGCAATACGATCAAGATACACGTCATACACGTCAGTTGATCTATGACACCGCTGATGCAGTGCCTATTTCGCATCCCTTCGAGTTTCCCGGACTGGCGTCAAACACAAAACCACATTCACTGAGTGGAGCTATTGCGGGTGGAAAGCTATTTCGTGAGGAGGTTACGAAATTCGGCGATATAAATGGGCCCATCACCGCTGTACCACAACGTCCACAACGCGGTTTGTTCTATGGAGATACAGAATTCAGGACAGGTCCGTCGCGACCATATGTGCCGCAGAAGGCTTTCAATGAGTACATTGGTCCAAATGGACCACTCGATTTTCAGAGTTCAAGGAAAAGTCGCTTCTTCCCTTTCAAATCATCGCGCAGTCCACGCGTTGTGTTTCCGGTGAACGATAACATTGGTACAACGGGTCCGAGTGGCAGCGGGAATGGAGTTTACTTTAGCGATAGCGTAGCATTCAGGTGAGTTGCGGGAAGAACCTAAATATTTTTGAGCTTGAAATATCTACGACAGGTGGTATATATGTAATTTAAACACAATTAAAATATTAGAGAATAACCTATATTTTAAAGGAATCACATTTTTATGTCCAGAGCTAGTGTATCGAATGAAACAATTCATTTATGTTTTAATTGTATTGAATTTATTTTACTGAGCAACTCAATGTCGCTTTGTAGGTTCTTTTACAATTGAATTCTTAGCCTAACATATTGGGGTATTTATGGGAAATAATTGCTGCATAAGCATAAATAATATTATAAATAAATTGAAGCTTAAAGTTAGTTTGTTTGACGGTTTGGCACGTGTGCCTGACAATGCGTGAGTTCTATATTCAAAATATTCAAACAACTGAAATATGAAACCCTTGTTGTTATGAATAAATTAAATAATTATAAACGTTAAGCATGGTCGACTTTCAGTTACACTACACTAGGGAAGTGATCAGGTAAATTAGAAGATTATGTCCAGGCTCTATGAAATTATAGTTAAGACCATAATGTAGGATGAAATGCATTCAAAAAGGCCATGCTAGTCAGAAATTTTCAGCTTCTTCTCTAGATAAGGATCCTTCATTAAAGGATGCGGTCGAACTTAGAGATACTGGATGCTTCATAGTCTCAGCAGTTGAACATTCTAGCTTCCCTCCTGTATGACTGCACAGTGAGACTGGAAAAAAAGAGCGTCCTCTCTAGTGATGAGTGGAAAGGTGGCACTAGTTGAATGGAGGCACCTGTGGACTTCTACACATATGGGTCGAAGCCTGACGGAAGAGTGGATGGGAGGTCTTTTTTTTCGGGGAGCACTTTCAGTGACCTTCAATTTAGTTTTGATGAAAACTCTGGTGTTTTCAATGCTGAGGTATCAGCCACACGATATCAAAGGACTACTACTCTGAAAGACAGTTGGCAATTATGGCTTTGGCTGCGCTGGAGTTGCGCTTGAAACTAAGATAGGAGCGCCTGAGCATGATTTTTTACTTGAAAAATGTTTACGACCAAGCCAAGAAAGCACTAAAAAAATAATAAAACCGAGAAAAGGGAGACTAAGAGCTCCTAAGACTACATGCAAACTACTCTTGGGCAGAATGATCTGTGTAAGCTCGGCGAACGCTGCAGGACATGTGCGTTTTAGGGATCTTTCCAGCCGAAGGCATACTGAATGCGGTCAAAATATCCTTGTTAACTCCTACCAGTATTAAAATACGCGGCTTGTTTATCCTTAAGACCTCCTTATACTGCCTTCAATTTTCCTGCGCGGTGAGAAGACCTTATTCACATCGCAACCCAAGGTATTCATCTAGGGCTCTCCTCCTGACTAGACAAAAATCTGTAAGGAAGCTGTACGCATGTGATAAATGGAGCCCCGGCGCCGACTTCTCAAGTGTGCCCGATTATACCAGTACATTACACATTCAGTTGCAATTGTGCTGTGGTTTCGAAAGATGTGGCCGGGAGGGATGTCAGGCAACCCCCCAACAATTTTCCAGCGTATAATCGAAAACCCAAAGACCTTAATTAGCGCCAGGCTATTGGTTTATGTATTCACATCCTTCAATCTGATTACATTTGTAAGTATCCAGTTCAATGCAGTGATTCGGGAGCCTAAATTAGAGGGCTCATCAAAGGTTCCTCTCAGAAGCTCCTTCCAATCTAACTTCGATCCATCTCCGAAGTCCAAATATTACACTCCGTTGAGTTTTACCTTGAAGATTTGTACTGAAACATCCAGTTGGATCCAGCATTGTCGTCCAAATATCGGTTAAGGCCGGGATGCTCTTAAAGCTTTTTAGGATTCTGAATTGCCCGTAGTTAAAAGTAAACTTATAGCCAATTCCTCGTAACCCTACAACGGCCCAACGTCGTTAAGTATTTAGCGCAAGTATAGAGTTGTCGCAAAAGTTCTCCAAAGGAAATCACGCAAAAAAATACCAAAAATAGTCATAAAAGCACTCCCTCTCGTAGGATATATCTAAACACTTTTCCATCCATATATAAATAGTTTAATTCGTTTTGTTTTCATACAAGGATTACCAAATATTTGTCGGTCGTAAACTTTGAAGCAGTTAACTCATTATGAACCAGACAACAAGTTGTATCAAAATTTTAACTAATAACTAATTAGGTAGCGCCAAGCTTTAGGAATTCATTTCTAGCAGTTCTACTTCCATTTTGAGTTGTAGCAACTTTTCAAAGGCTCTGTAAAAACCACCTCAAAAGGCAATATCCAAAATTCAACTCCTCTTTTATTAATCGCATTACAAACTTACAGTTTAATCCATGTATTTTCTCATAATTTCAGAGATCAAAACTTTGGCCTCAACGACTTGGCTGCCATTCAAGACGTCCGCAATGAATTCAGTTTACAGGACATAGACGGCAGCACCTCAGAGACCAGTTTGTCGAGTGTGCCTTCTTCCGGAACATTCAAAGAAAAAGGTAAGCGCTTTGTTTTCCATACACAGAAGCTTTCTTACACTACCGCTATCCATACATACATACATACATACATACTTATATCAAAAATAGGTCAACAACCATACATACTACATAAATGCATACACGTGTACATACATACATACTTTTGTGGTATTTAGTATATCGAAAGACATCAACAAAAAATTCACACATGGAAAAACTTCTCATTACATTCTCTTTGAGCT